AGTGTGGCTCTGACAAGTATAACCAAGATGGAGGGGTTTCATGTGTGGTTCCAGGGACAGAATGTCTCTGTTGTCTGAGGACCAACCTAGCACTATCTAAACGGGATCATCAACAGAAAAATGGCTGCCAGGTGATAAACATGTTAGCTATAGAAACCATCTGCTAAGGAATGGAAGGTCTTCAATCTGACTCAGCTCTTGGGAGTACCCATACCAGTGAAATAACGAATCTACTGAAATGACAAAACATTTGAAATGTGTATATGAATTTGCTTGTCAGTCTCAGTTGAGGTGTTGATTAGTTTTGATGATCTGGTTTGTTTCCTCTTTCCTCTTTTTCCCTCTTTGTTACAAAGGATGGATCAATGGGTAGGGGAAGGAAAGTGATATATTAGGAAACAAAGGTGATATAAAAACAAAGGATATCAATATTTTTTTTTTAAAAAGAAGCCTATGTGTATTAACTCTCCTGATAAACTGTGAGTTCCTGAAGAATCATAGGATCAAATAGAGCTCAAAAAACACTTCAGAGTTCATCTGGTCTAAACTTCTCATTTTATAAATAAGGAAACTGAGGCCCAGAGAAGGTGACTTGCTGAAAGTCACAAAATAAGGAGCAGCATCAATATTCAAACCCAGGTCCTCTGACTTCATGTCTTTCCACTACACCATGTCATATTCTGCAATGCTTCATCATGGTAGGGAAGAAAATCTTTGAGAATCCAGATACCTCTCCCAAGGTGGGAACTATAATCTTTTCTTCAATGTAGCCCAAAAAAGGACCCTACATATAGAAGGCATTAGAGACTACTGCAATGTACTTACTAGTCGGTCCTGCTGTCCACATTAGTAACATGAACCTGTAATTCCATAGCACATGCATAGAGACAGATCCCACAGAAAATGCTGACACTCCAAACACTCAAAACAACCAAGAGAACACAGTTCTTCTAAAACAAGTCATCAAACTCTTAAGGAAAGTGAACAAAATCATGGGTCATTTTTTATATAGTAAAACAAAATAATATGACTCACAATTCACAACGAAGGAGATAGAGAAGGTGTTAGAAGTCGCCAAGAGGAAGTTCCAAGAGATGAGAAAGTGAAATTAGGAGGCCATTAGGGATTCAACTCAAGATTGAGATTTTCAATCTGAGGATGCAGGTGTTGGGTACACTGTGAAAGGTATATATAATCATGGAGCATTAAAACTAGAATGGCCTTCAGTTACACGTGGTGGGGCTGTGGGCGAACAGGAATATTAATGCCCTGTTGATGGACCTGTGAATGAGTACCACCATACTGAAAAACAATTTGGAATTCTACACAAAAAGTTACTAAATAGTTCATGCCCTTGGACCCTATACCACTGCTAGGCCTATACCCAAAGATATCAAAGAAATAGAAAAAAATCCTATATGTACAAAAATATTTATAGCATCTTTTTGTTATGACCAAAAAACCTGGAAACTAAAGGGATGTCCATCAAATGAAGAATTGCTCAATAAATGAGGGTATATGAATATGATGAAATACTAATGAATAGATGATGAGTAATCAGAACCAGAACAATTTATACAATTTATACTATAACATCGATATTATCAAAATGAACAGTTTTAAAAACTTTTATAAAATGATGAAAAATAAAAGGAGCAGGACCAGGAGAACGACTTTTACAGTCAAAATACCATAAAGACAAACAACTCTGAAAGTTTCAAGAAAACTGACCAATGCAATGAGCATCCATGATCCCAGAGAAGGATGATAATGATGAAACACACTATCGCCCCCCTGACAGAGAGAGGACAAATGGAGGGAAGAGAAAGAGACACGTATGGTTCTTTTTTTTGTTTTTTTGCTTTTTGGTGAGGCAATCAGGGTTAAGTGACTTGTCCAGGGTCACACAGCTACTAAGTGTCAAGCGTCTGAGGTCACATTTGAACTCAGGTCCTTCTGTCTCCAGGGCCAGTGCTCAATCCACTGCACCACCCGGTTGCCCCTAGTGACACATGTATTTTTGCATATAAGCCAAGGAGGGATTTTTTTTTTTTTGGCTTGACTATGTATATTTGTTAGAAGGAATCTGTTTTCTTTCTTTTTTTTTTTTCTAATGGGGTAAAGGTGGGGAAGGAAATAAAGTTGTTTATTTAAAAAACAGATATGGTGGGGGTACTTACTACTGATGTGGAATGTTGCATACACTTTCATATTAGGTCACTGTATTGTTAGTTTTGTTTAATTTTTTACTTGTTAGGAGAACTCTCTTGGGATCGGAAATAGTCTATGGAAGATAAGGGAGAGAGCTGATGGAGGGATGACCTTGAGCAGAGCTGATGGACAGAAGGATGACCTTGAGCAGAGGTGTCAAACACACAGCTCACAATGCTCCTGAGTATGGCCTGAACCAGAGTCTAATGTAATTGGGAAATATTTAACAAAATACCTAATAATACAATAAAACACAGATACTATTAACATATTGTTTTCTCAGTTGATATGTGGCCCACCGGAATCTTTATGTACAGGTTAGGGGCCCCCATTTCTATTTGAGTCTTACACCACTGATTCTGAAGTTAAGAACCTGGGTGATTGAAAGAATGGTGCTGCCCTCATAAGAACCTGGAAAGTTTAAAGAAGGACCAGTTTTGCCACGTATGTGTCCGGGAGGGAGAGAGAGAGAATAAATTCCATTTTAGACATGCTGAGTTTGAAATCCTGGTGGGACATCCAAGAAGAAATGTGAGACACAGAGATGGGGCTTAAAAAATGTTTATCCAGTTGAATTTCTCTGCATAAAGAAGGTAAAAATGAACAAGAACCAATCTCTACTCTCAGAAAACCCACAGTTCAGTGTGTATCTAAGGGGAGTTGGCTGAAGGTAGCAGGGATAAGACTGTAAGGCTATTAGAAATTCTTTGACTTTTCTCTAAACTCTCATACTCTTATAGCCAGTTAACAAGTCCCACAACTCCACCTCTTCCAACATCCCTCATGTCCATTCCTTCCTCTTTATTCCTTAGTATGGGACTTCATTACCACCTGTCTGGACTACAATAACGGGTACAATTATTTCTACCTTCACTATATTCTGATCCTCTCCACCCCAACCATCCATGATACAACCAAAAGATCTGCTCACAAACCCTTCAAAGTCTCTCTGTTACCGACTAAGTAATGTGCAAACTCCTTCACCCAGCATTCAAGGTCTCCCCAGACTGAAGCCATCTTACCATTCCAGTCTGTCTCTTATTATTCCCCTACATGGAATCTATATCCTGGCAAAACTGAACTGCTTACCATCTCCATTACAAACCTTACATTTTCTTGCCTTGAAAATAGCTGGCATTTACATAGCAAGGTTTGTAAAGCCCTTTACATGTTATTTCATATGGTCCTCACAATACTGCAGTGAGATTAGTGCTATTATCATCTTCATTTTATCCATGCAGGTTTCCTATGGCAGAGGAGAGAGCTGGTTCTGAAGCCAAGAGTACCAGGGCTCATGTCCTCTCTTTATCACGGACTGGTTGTGACCATGAGCAAGTCACTTAGCTTTCCATGCTCTAGGGAACACTCTAAGGCCATATGTTGCAGGGAAGGTACCAACCTGCATCAGTAGAAAAGGCTCCCTCAACTGGAAGATCTCTATAAATGAAATCCCAGGTCCAGGTCCTATTCCTATCCTACCTCTATGTCTAGAAAAACCTTCACTGACCTCCCTTTATCTACTTAATTCCCAACCATTCTTTAAAGGTCAATTCAAATGTCACTTCTTCCATAAAATCTTTCCTGATCCCCCAGTCACATATGAACTGAATCAAGCACCATTTTGTTTTCAGCCTCTCTAATGTATCATCATATACTGATAAATAAGGAAGGCAGTGTGGCCTAGTGAGGGCCCAGTCTAGTGGCTAAAGGGCCAGCCCTGGAGACAGGAAGATCTAGACACAGGCCTGCCTCTGACGCTCAGGACATTAGGAGTTTTTAATGGCCTCAGTGAGTTTGTTCTTTAAAACACTTTGATGACTACTTCAATAAAACTAGGTTTCATTGGTAACTCCATATATTTTATTTATGCATTTTAAAGCATTACTTTCGGATATGGGGTGGTGGGAGGAATAACTCTGCTTGGAATTAATTATGTCTGAGATGTCTCCAGGACATGCAGTTGTGAGCTTCTTCTGTAGCTCCCTACCACCTCATAGGTCTTAGAGCCAGAAGAGGCTTTGGAAGCCATTTATAATGACATTTATGAGACCTCCTCATACGACAGGAAAACTGAGGCCTGCCCAAAGTCACACAAGCAGTAAGCCTGGAACACATAGGCTCCCTGAGGCCAGATGCTGGCCTTTTTCTACTACAGCCCAGTCACCAACCCCACCACCACGACGCCAGTGGAGGCCTTGAATGCCAGCCCTAAGCGTGTAGTCTTTATCTTCTAGGAAATGAGAAACTACTGAAGGCCCTTTAGGAAGATGGCCATAGCAGCACGGACAGAAGGGGGGCCGGGGAGCAAAGGGGTCCCTGGGTCCTTACACCGTCAAGTGTTACAAGTTAACTATCATTAGTCTCTGATGTTTCTAGAGAGAGCAACCCCCCCCACACCCCCAAACACAGCTGTCGGGCAACAAGCATTTATTAGTCGCTTACTGAGTACCAAGCACCGAACTAGGGCGCTGGAGATAAAAACACAGGACACAGCCCCTCAAGCACAAACCTCTCGACCCGATCATCGCGCACACACACGCGCAGGGACACGTGACAAATCACGCTGCCTGTAACGCGCAGGCGCACAAAAGACCGCGCGGTCCAGCCAGTCTTCCCTGGGCATCGAGCCTGGGCCAGGACCCACCCTACTCCGACCCCCGCCACCACGCGCACGTGCACAACGACCCGGTACCCGAGCCAGCCACGGCGCCCTCTGTCTTTTCCCCACGCGGCTTCGGCGGCGCGCGCAACCCCCAAAGCGTGGGGCCGACTGTACTGCGCGTGCTTACCGTTCGCCCTGAGCAACACACGCCGATCCACTAGGTCTCCTCAAGCCCGGACGATGTACACGTCCCACACGTCCCACACACCCCGAGCCGCGTCCCGAGCAGGAAGTGCTCCCGCCCGACCTTCGTCCCCGCCGCTCGGCACTTCCGGCGACGCTCTAGGCGCCCAGCAGGGCTCGTCGGGCTCGGTGTCCGCCGGAAAAAGAGGGAGGGGAGGGGAGGAGAGGAGGAAAGGAGGGAAGAAGGCTTTGCTAAGCGCTTTACAAATATGATGTCATTCAGTCTTCACTGAGGTAGGAGCTATTATCCCCGTTTGACCATTGAGGAAACTGAGGCAAGCAGAGGGGAAGGGAACTCGCCCAGGGTCACACAGCTAAGGAGTCGTCTGAGGACGGGGTCTGAGCTGGAGAGTGTTGGAACTCCGGGCCCCGCACTCTGTCCACTGCCGGAAAAGAGAGGAGGGCGGAGTGTGGAGGGGCAGGGCCCTGCGGGCCGCCGCCGCCCCCTCCCCCCTCGGGCCCTCTGCTGACCGAGTTGGAAGGACAGGGGCCGACAGTTAGGCTCCGCCTTTTCATCAGTGACCCTGTCGGCTGCCAGAGTCCCCCCGCCCCTTGGGGGCAGCTGCTGACCGCTGTGTCTCGGACTCCTCTGCTGGACAGTCCGTCATCCGTCTCCCACCCATTGGTCCTGGAAGCCCGAGGACCACTGCCCATGCTGCCAGAGTCTCAAGCACAGCCCGGCCAAATCAGCGCTCGTGTTTCCCTGGAAAGCAGCTCAGCCGCCAGGCTCCCCTCGTGTGGGGCTTCCACCTCGGGCGCTCTTTGATTCTTCCCTCTCCCCACCCCTGTCCACGTCCTTTTGATGCTTATCTCACCTTCCACATGCACCTCCCCTCCACTCTTACCAGCACCGTGACCCAGGGTCGCATCTCCCCTAATCTATCCTTCACACAGCTTCTGGGAGTACTGGACATTTCCTGCTTTCACACATAAATACGTGTTCCCCGTGCCTACAGAGCATTCCCTCCAGAATCCATTTCTTCTATAGAATCTTCCCCTAACCTATTAGGTAAAGGCAGTGGAAAGAGGGCTGAGTCCCAGGAGTCAGGAAGACCTGAGTTCAAATCTAGTCTCAGGCAGGAGCTATGTGACACCAGGGAAGTAATTTAACCTGTTTTGCCTCGGTTACTTTATCTGTAAAATGGGGATAATAATAGCACCTCTCTTAGACACAGGGTTGTTTTGAAGGATCAAATGAAATAATTGTAAAGTGCCTGGCACATAGTAAGTACCATATAAATAAATGTTAGCTAGTATTCCTCTTCCTCCTTCAAAAATGAGCTCTTTGCGGATCTCTCATTTGTCCCCAACTACCAACTCTGTTATTCCTGTGTTTTGTGTTGAATTCTCCACTGCCTCCAATAAAATCTGAGTTTCTTTAAGGTAAAGAATGTTACTGATTTTTTATTTTTTACTCTAGATTGTTATGAACCTTTTAGTAGATTTTCAGTATTTGCCCATTTCCTTTCTAGCTTCTTTATCAGTTAAGTGAAAGCACTGGACTAGATGATCTCTACAATCTCTTTCAGCTCTAAATGCTATGACCATATGAATCCTGGCCCCAGGACTTATCACTGTGTGACCACAGGCCAGTCCCTTCAACTCTTAGCCCATTTTCTGTTTCAAAGAATGAGCATAACAATGCTTAGATGATCTACCTCACAGGGTTGTGATGAGAAAATTGTTTCTAAACCTTAAAAAGTTGGAGAAATGTGAATTAAATAAATCATGCATATTTAAGAGCTTTAAAAATATAACTTGATATGAAGTAGTCTCAGAAAATGAAATCGAACTAGCCTGCTGGTTGGTTTTCCATCCTCAAGTCTTTTCCCATTCCAATTCATCCTCCACTTGGCTGTCAAATCCAGATCCAACCATATCACATTGCACCACCACCCCACCCCACCTTTAATAAACTGCATTGAGTCCCTCTAACCTACCGGATCAAACATACAATCTGCTATTTGGCTTTCAAAGCCCTTCATAATCTGGGCCCTTCCTACCTTTCCAATCTTCTTACACCTTACTCCCCTCCACATCCTCTGATCCAGTGACACTGGCCTTACTGTTCCTCATACTAAACATAATCTCCTATTTTCACTAGCTGTCCCTCATGCCTGAAATGCTCTCCCTCATCTCTGCCTTCAACTTCAAGTCTCATTTTCTTCTGCAAGAAGCCTTTCCTAGCTAGTCTTGTTTAATCTTGTCTTCCCTCTAAGACTACCCCCAATTAAGCAGATATATATGTATTAATAAATGTGTGTATACATATATATATATGAAATGTTTGTATACAGTTGTTTGTATGCTGTCTCTCCCCATTAGACTGTGAGTTACTTGACAGCAGAAATTGTTTGTTTTTTGCCTTTCTCCAAGCACTTAGCACAATGCCTGGCACATAGTAGGCACTTAATGTTCGTTGACTGAGTTGTAAAGAATCTATCAAAGAAAAAAAAATCCCTGTTCCATATGCATTTACAGGTGAAATCTATCAGAATCACAGGTAGTATCAGAGCTAAATCCATTGTCTCCAGAGCCAGGATTCAAGACAAAGGATATGACAAAATAGTTCTTCAAAGAACTGCAAACCATAAGGAATGTTTTGCTAAATCTCTAATAATAAAAGCAAGTCAAAACTCTTCCCCACAAACTCAGCAAATTTGCAAAGATGTCCAAAAAATGGAAAGTCATTGTTGGCAGGTTTGTGGAAAGACAGGTACATTAAGACATTGTTGATAGACCTGTGAATAGGTACAAACAACCTGGAAAACAATTTGGAATTATGCCCCCAAAAAAGTTACTAAAGTTTCCATACCTTTTGCAGCAGAGATCTTACTGCTACTCCAGTCAATTTAAAGTCAGGTATCTCTGTGTTTGTATGTATACAAACATATACAAATACATGTTTCACTCATGTATAAATATACATGTACATTCTCACTCAAAATATTCATAGCTGCACATTTTATGGCATCAAAGAACTGGAAACATGTTCATTGTAAAAGGAACATAATGGAGTATTAGTGCATCCTAAGAAATTATGAATATGAAGAATTCAGAAAAGCATAAGAAAACTTGTTATGAACTGTTATAAAGTAAGTAAAAGCAGGAAAACAACATACATATTAACAAAACTGTAACTACAAAGAAAAAAACAACCAGAAAGAATGCTGTATGATTATAATGACCAAGCTTTACTCCAGAAGAGAAATGAGGAAATATATCTTTCCTCAGCTTACAGAGGTGGGGGACCACAGGTACGAAATGATGTGCTTATTGTTAGACACTGCCAATGTATTGGTTAGGTTTGCTTAACTGGTTTTTTTTTCCTTTTAAAAAATTCTTTGTTCCTCATTGGGTAAGGGAGGAGGAAGGTTGTTCAGAAATTGATGTGAAAACAGAAGAAATCAAATGTTTTCAATAAAGAAAAAATACAACTTGCCACACAGATGAAGATAGGGCATTGTGGTTGCTGTTCAGTCATGTCTCATTCTGAAGATAAGGCATTACCACATCCAAGTGACAGCTTCCTCCTGCTTCTTCAAGACCCCACCACTGATTTTTTAAAATCACAGAATCCGAGTGAGAAGAATCTGAGAGGTCCTCTACTATAATGTTTATCTGAGCAAGAATCTCTTCTATAATAAGATCTCTGACAAGGGTCTGTCCAGCTTCCTACTGAAAACTTACAGTGATATTTTTTAGACATAGCTAATTTGTTATAAAGGTTTTATTTCTCTTTTTCTCAGTGGGGAAGGCTTAGTGGGAGGTAAAAAATGCTTATGGGGCAGCTAGGTGGCGAAGGGGATAGGGCACCAGCCCAGGAGTCAGGAGGACCATTGTTCAAATCCGACCTGACACATAACACTCACTAGCTGTGTGACTCTAGGCAAGTCACTTAACCCCAATTGCCTCATATAAAAAAAAAAAAAGTGCTTCTTAATTGGGGGGGAAAAAAACCTACAATGATTGGGAACTTGATATTTCTGTAAGCAACCATTCGTTTCCTGGACAGTTCTAACCCCAACCCTAAATTCTAATAGTTTGGAAATTTTTCTTTATATCAAGCCAAAATCTACCTCTGTGGATTTGGGATGACACCATTAAAATAAGACCTCGCTCTCTGTCCTTTAGTTACATTGAAAGCTACCATGACAGTCTTCCTCCAACAATTTCAAGAAAAGAAACTAACTACATTATGTCTGTTGTGTAAATTGCCTCCCAGAGAACCTAGAAACAACCTCTGCATCCAGTAAATAAATGGAAAACTGATTAAAATTGCTCTAAGATACCTTGGTAACTGGTGTTTTTCCTGGAACATTACAGTCGTTCCTCAACTGTAAAATGGTGGTAATAATGTTACTATTATCCCTCCCTGGGTTATTGTGAGGATCAAATGAGATGATATTTATAAAAGTGCCTAGCACATGGTGCCCGGCACATTGTAGGCACTTAATAAATTTTGTTTCCATCCTTCCTCCTGGGCATAATGCCGTGCTAATTTACTCAGTTCTCATTCATCTCAACCTCTGCTCTGACATTCAGCTCTTACTTCCTCTTCAAATATCCTCCATCTTTGGCATCTACATCACCAAATGTTCTCTTAGTATTCCTCAGATCTGCCCATGGGGGTGGGTGAGGGTGAAACACCCACACAAGTTATCAAAACAATGAACAAGCATTTATTTAGCAACTCTTATGAGATGGTGGGTTAGATATCTATAATACAAGCTAAATGCCTGACCTGCAAGAGCTTACAAACTTTCAAAAAGCTGCTTTAAACTGGATTCTCTACTCTCTCAGATTCTCCTTTTCCTTTTTTCATTATAGTAACTGGTTTATTCTTTGGAATATGCTCTTTAATATGAATTCTCTGGTGCTTGATAAGTTGTGTGCTCCGAATAAAAGCTTTTCCACAATCACTGCATTTATGAGGCTTTTCTCCAGAGTGAGTTCTCTGATGTTGAACAAAGCCTGACCATCCTCTAAAGGCTTTTCCACATTTGTTACATACATATGGTTTTTCTCCAGTATGAACCCTCTGATGATTAATAACACCTGAGCTATGACTGAAGGTTTTTCCACACTCATGACACACATAGGGCTTCTCTCCAGTATGAATTCTCTGATGTTTAATAATATCTGAGCTGTGA